GGGTTGAAAGGGTGTATCTGAGGAGGGAGCTGGGGTTTATGTTTGTTAGATGTCGGAGGATACTACTGAGCAAGCAGGATCTTTTCTTGTGTCTGAGGGCAGGGTGTTGAGAGTTCATCGTTCAGATGGGTTTGGTTTACAGATCAGTGGACGGGTCCCTGGTGTAATGTGATCCGTTCATTTCTTGGAGTATGATTTGGATTGTTTAATATATCTGGTTTAAGTGATCGACAGCCGAATTTTTGGACATTGTCTTGGTTTATCTGTCACAACGAGAGAATCGGAGGGGCAGTGAGTTATCGGGGTCTGTTATTCAAGGAGCAATTATCATGGTGATATCTTGAGAGGACGGTCTGGCACTGAGACAGGCCACTAGAGTTTCCAGAGTCTGGAGAGTCAGAAGGGGTGTCGTAGCAGCAGAAAGGTCCGTCTTATTCCGGGTTTGGAAGTTCCTGTTTGGATTCAGGTGTCCATGGGGAAAGATATATGAGTGGTATGAGATCCTTTTCGTGGTGCTTTTCGGGTTATTGGGTTTGATCTATGTGTTGTTGAGGGGCGATTTCGAGGGCGAAATTAAATTCAAGTGGGGGAGAATTGTAACATCCGGATTTTCAGGTACATTATTGTGCATTTTAATCTTGAGATTTATGGAGAGACTCGACGAGTTGAGGGTCCAACTCGTCGAGTCGAGTCGAGTTGTTCGCATGGAATGAATGAGTTGACTCGACGAGTCAGAGAACTGACTCGCCGAGTAGGTTCTGGGCAGAGAAACCCTAATTTCTTGGGGTTGGGGCCTATATAAGGGAACTTATGCCCCCATTTACGCCTCACCAGTTACCCCACACCCCTGAGAGCAAACCCTAATCGCCATTAGAGCTAGAGAGCGACTGAGGAGCTAATTTGAGTGGTTTTGTGCATCCTTTGGAGGAGATTTGGAGAGCTTGGTGTGTTTGATCAAGGAGGGGCCGTAGATCCAGAGCTCTCCAGTGGTTAGCTTCATTGCAAAGGTAAAAAGCTCCTATCTTGACCTTTCCTTTGTGAGATCTTAGTTTAGGGAGATTTTGAGGGTTTTCTCCCATCCATTATGGGCAATGAGTTATTTGAGCATATCATGAGGTTGAAACCTCAGATCTGGACTGTAGAAGGACTTGAGAGACCAAAGATCCAAGCTTTATTGAGCTAGAGTCTAGCTTTTGTGCATCTAGCCCTTGTGGGAGCATGTTTTGGCATTATGAGTCTTATATGCCATGTTTAAACGTAAAGCTTGCAGCTTTACGTGGCAATCGACCCTTAGGATGGTAGATCTAGTGTTTGGAGTGACGGATCTGCCTTAAATCGTCTGAATGATGAATCTGATCGAAAGGACTCGCCGAGTCCATGGCCTGACTCGACGAGTCGGTGAGGGTTTGTCCCGATGGGTTGATTGTGCGACAACTCGGCGAGTTGGGGGTCAACTTGACGAGTTGAGCTGGACTTTTTGAGACTTCTGAGGGGACTCGACGAGTCGCAATAGTGCACTCGACGAGTCTGGTCAAACATGGACTGTTGGCTCGAGTTTGACTTCTGTTGACTTTGAGGTTTTGGCCAACATGAGTAATAGAGACCATAGAGGGGTAAAATGGTCTTTTATCCACTTCAAAGAGTTAGAGAGAGAAAGAATAGCCTTCGGTTATTTGAGTCGTGAAAAGAGTATTAATTAGAGATATTCATCCTTTGTGTTAGGCGGAGACTAGTTCGAGATCCGAGCGCGAGGTTATTTGCTCACCTGCTTGCGAGGTGAGTCTTCTCACTATATTTTACCTAGAGTGGTAATTATGTGTAACCGGAAGGTCTTATGTGCTTACTTGAGTCGTGCATTTATCTGTGATATATATATATATATATATATATATATATATATATATATATATATATATATATATATATATATATATATATATATATATATATATATATATATATATATATATATATATATATATATATATGCTATATTATGTGTTACTGAGACCGGACTGGAGGGTCCCAACCAGACCGGACCATAGGGTCCAACGAGCTATGGGACTGGAGGGTCCTACTAGACCGGACCAGAGGGTCCAACGAGCCGTGGGATTGGAGGATCCCACTGAGACACATAGACCGGAGGGTCTCACGGTGTTATAGCCTCGAGTGGATAATGTGTTGTATTTGGTATTTTGGGGAACTCACTAAGCTTCGTGCTTACCGTGTTGTGTGTTATGTGTTTCAGGTTCTTATCAGGATCGCGGGAAGGCGCCGGCTTGATTGTACACACATCCGAGTTGGAGATATGTCTTTGGAGGATCCTGGATTTGTGATAAACGATTTTTAAATGTGTTGATAATTCGTTACTTGTGAGTTTTAAGAAAATGTGACTTGTGGGTTATTGTGTTTTAAAAATGAAAAATTTGGTTGAAAATTTACGTCGTTACAAATCGTAAGTGTCTACTTGGATTATCCTAGACCGAATTTCTTGTAACCCAAACATAGGGTAGAAATATCAGTTCGGAAAGTGATATCACGCTCCAAGTTGGTATCCAGATCTCCACCATAAACCCTAATCTCCTAACAGCCTTTTGTTTCTAAATCTTATGCTTGAAAATGATAAAGAACCATGATAGAAAAAATGTCCATGATAAATAGTGAAAAGGTATAAATCTAATTAATACAATTAATTTTGACTTATATGGATGTATATTTGCCCACATTCAAAAAAAATTGTAGAAATCTAATAATTGATTTTGTTTTATATGGATACATATTTGCCACATAAATATCAACAGATTTTTAGTCTAAAGAGAGTGGTTATATCCAACCCACTCAAAAAGTGATGTCACCTCAGCACCATATCAGCTTCAGTACAAACTCACTAACAAACCACCGATCATTTGAATGGTTACCACTCCACAATATTTTTATTTTTATTTTTTTTGACATTATTAGATTAAATTAAAAGCATAATTCAAATAAAAACACACATTAAATTAAAAACACATTACATTATTGTAAAACATACAAATTAAAATCCTAAAATACTTAAAAAAACATAAAAAAAAAATCCTAAATTACTTTAAAAAACATAAAACATACCAACTAAAACATAAATTTTAGAACCTAATTTCTATATTTTTTGCGGACTTATTGTCAGATTTTTAGAAATGTCGCTAGATTTTCCGGGTCAAGATTCGGCTGGGGCTTTGTGTTTATGATTTGAAGATTGGTAAGAGCGATTTTTCGGCAACGAGCTTCCTCCGTTGATTAATATATTTTTTTTCTAGAAAACTTAGAGTTTTATCTATGGATTCCACAAGCCCGTCTTCACTAGTTGTGGTTGCATTTCTACTTGAAGACGCCGCCCGTTTTGCTTTGTCCCTTCCCGGTGGTCGACGAAGTTGGACTTCCGGTGGACCCTCTACCTCGGTAAGTCGAATTCATCATTGAGGTCGAGGCCAAAACCCGCGTCCGAATAGGAAGTTCTTGGTCTTTTGTTGGAACCGGTGGTCGAGTCTGAATGCGACGTCTCTGGATTAAGGATCCCGACGACAAACTTCCCACGCTTTTTGGTGACCGAATGGTTAACTTTGAATTGGTAGCACATGATTGATAAGATATTGAAGTCGTTGCAACCACTTTTCTGTATATTTTTAAGATTCTCAAATATGTCATTAAACTTTGTGCAAACCGCTCATAGATCACGCCATTTTCCGTTGACTGCATTGTACGACCGATCCGTTTGCCTTCCTAATAGTGCGTGAAAGTGATCCAAAACATGATTCCAAAAACTTTCTCCGGATTGTGCGTTGCCTCTTCTGGTGTCACATGATATGAAAATCCAAGCTTTCGCTAAAGCTTCCTCCTCCTCTTCTTCGTTCCAAGGCACTGCTTTTTTTTTCTTCCTTTTCCTTTTTGGGTGCCTTCTTCGAGATGGTTGTGGTGTTTCTTGGACCCGTTCGTCGTCGTTGTCGAACTTTATAGTTTGGGATTGAGATAATGAGACTTGAGATGATTGTGTTTGAAATTGTTGTAGTTGAAATTGTTGAAAAGGTTGTTGTTGAAAACCTTGGAATTAGGGTTGAGTGAATTGTTGTTGTGGTCGTTGTTGTTGGTAGAATTGTAGGTTGTATGAAATGTTAGTGGATAAAGGTTGTTGTTGAGTTGGAGAGTTTAACAATTGCATGTAAGTTTGATAATCATTTAGAGTGTTTGGGGTAGTTGGGGTATTTGAAGTGTGTGGGATATTTTGGTTTGAGTCCATTTTTGAAGAAAAGATAAAGAAAGTAAAAGAAAGTTTATGTTTTAGAAGTGTAAAATATAGGTAAAATGTGTAGTATATATAGGTAAAAGATGTAAGAGATGTTATTTAAATGTAAAAGTTAATTTTTTTTTTAGATGGATTGAACAGTGAAATATACAACCGTTACTTCCCTCCCTTCTCTCCCCTCTGACGCCACAAGCCACCTACATGCACTTGAGACGATGTTCACGCGTAGGTTGGCATGCCAACTCAGCTCCCACAAATAGTTTTCTCTTCCATATCGGAGGCCTTACGAAATAATTTTTCAAATAAAATATCTACTCTAATAAATAAAGATCCATTTTGCCACATGTCAATCTCTCATAAGTTTTGACACTTGTCATTTTGTGGTATTTTTGAAATTAATAATATCCACATGTCAATTTTTTTGGTTTTTTTAATTTTAAAATTAAAAAGTCACATAATACATATAATACATATAGCTATATAAGTAAATTATTAAATGTAATAAATATGATCTTAAATTGCAATAAATATATTTTTTCCTTTCTTATTTTAAAATTTAATTTTAAAAAATACTTAATGTTTACATTTTGATATTTAATTTTTTTTAATTATATAGGTAAAAGACCTATTTAAAAATATAAGATCTTCAAAATTCAGCAACGGACAGGTGATTTGTCATAACCGAAACAGAAGACATAAATAAAAGGGTAAAGATAGATCCATGTACAAATTTCAATGCATAAAGTACATCTTCTAATGCAGTTTTGTTCTGGTTTAAGTAAGTGCAACTGTAGGAGAATGATATAATCAGTGGCTCACATGTTACGCGAAGTCGAACACTCGTCCTTTTGTGCAAGAGTTTCTGGGTTTTGAAGGGCGACGAACGGAGGCCAGACATATCCACCATCACCGACGGTTGATCAACTTCCGATTCACTTTTCCGGCCGCTTAACTTTCCAGGCAACAAGATTTCTCAATCCTTTTCAACTATTCATCTAATTATCACGCTATCACGCTCATATTAACGGAACCCTAGAATCGAGTAACATGTTATATCATTCAATTAGTGCTTAAATATCGTCTCTCATCTTAGGAATATTACTAGGTTTATAGATCTAGGATTAGAATACAAATAGGTATTTTAATGGCACTTGATTATCGATAATCTCACGCGAACTAGATACAGATACATGATTGGTAGATTGAAATTTCGAAGTCGATTTTTTATATCTATAACAGGCGTTGAGGATGTCGACGCCGGCGAGGAAGAGGTTAATGAGGGATTTCAAGAGGTTGCAGCAGGATCCTCCGGCTGGAATCAGTGGTGCGCCGTATGATAACAATATTATGCTTTGGAATGCCGTCATATTTGGGTAGGTGGAGCTGTGAATTAATGTTTGTTTTTCATGGCTTCTTTGAGATGATGTGATTGTTTTACTGATTAGTTTTATTTGCATTTCAGCCCTGATGATACTCCTTGGGATGGAGGTGTGTGATCACTTCTATGATCTTTATCATACGTTGTTTTAGTACAATATATTTACATATGAGTACTATGATTTTGAATTGAAATTGATAGATCTTTGTTGAATAATATAACACCCTCAGGTACGTTCAAGTTGACACTGCAGTTTTCAGAAGATTATCCAAATAAGCCACCAACAGTTCGATTTATTTCCAGAATGTTTCATCCAAACAGTAAGTTAGCATTATCAACAAGATAATATCTTTCAAATCAATGTATATGGGAATATGGGGTTGCTTTCTTATTTTATTCCTTTTTTTTGTATTGGGTAGTTTATGCAGATGGGAGCATATGCTTGGACATTCTTCAAAATCAATGGAGTCCAATCTATGATGTTGCTGCCATTCTTACATCAATTCAGGTATGCTAGCTTTGATATTATGTGGGGCCGTTCTCTTTGAAATTTAACATCTTTGTATGCTTGTTCACATGGGTTTTTTAAGATTTAGCAGCCTTATTGAATCTTTAGTTGGTTTTCTTGACGTAATTTAAAATTGATCAATAAGAAAGAAGCAATTTTGAATATCAAATTAGCAAATTTTATTTTCACTAAAAGGCGTGTTTGGTTTGTGGATTCCGTTGGAATTGGAATTGAAATTCCATTCCATTGGGTGTTTGGTTGCAAAAAGGACGGAATTGGAATTTTGTTGAAGTCGTTCAAATTCCATGTCTGATGGGTTTCACCACATTCCTAGGGGAGGGTGGAAGGAATTCAATTTCATTATCCATATTTTTATTTATGGCCCAAAATATCCTCGTTTTATATATTGAAATATGTAAAAACAAATGAATGGAATTTAATTCCGTCAGATTTCTTCATATTCCATGTTTCTTGGGGGTGGATGGATGAAGTTCAATTTCATTCATTATTTTTTATCAAAAGACCAAAATATCCTTATTATATATTGAAATAAATAAAAAATAAAAAAATTAAGTAACACGTTGATATTTTAAGTCTTTATTATTGAATCCGATTCCATTTCCTAACAAATTCCATTTCAAAAACATTCTGCCAACCAAACAACCCTCAGATTCCAATTCCTTTGACAAATTCAAATCTTTTCAAAAACATTTTACAAACCAACCACCCTGTACTCATAAAAAAGGTAAAAAGGGAAAAATCAAACCAAATAGAGAATAAAAAAGTTAAACAACATTTGAAAAACAACATGATTGATTGCATTGAAACTTATGGTGATTCATTGTAACTCCAAATTTGTGAATTTTAGTCATTACTCTGCGATCCAAACCCAAACTCACCAGCAAACTCAGAAGCAGCACGCTTGTTTAGTGAGAATAAGCGCGAGTACAACAGAAAAGTGCGTGAAATTGTTGAACAAAGCTGGACAGCCGACTAAAAAAACATCCGCTGCTTTCATATCTCATCACATCTCATCTGTGTACCTTTATAACATATATGCTTGTTTGAGAACACACCACTCAAACACTAATAATGGAAAACCAATATAAATTCAGTTTCTAGGCAAATTTAAGCTTCTTTTTTATTTTTATTTTTTTTTTATTTTTTTTTTTAATGTTTTATTCTTGTTCATTTGCTTGCGTTTTGAGACTTTGTTGTACATAATGATTTCTTGTAATATATTGGACTGGAATTTTCTGTTTTTTTCTTTTTTGTTGCTTGAAATGACAACAAAGTTTTTTTTTTTTTTTCTTCGTTTAATTTCTGTATGGGTAAAGTGACTGACTATGTAATGCTGTTTGCTTGGATAAAGTGATGTATATATTAGGTGTGATTCTTTATTAGTCCGGATAAATCATCGTCTAAAAGAGACTAAGGTGCTGTTTGTTTTTTAGAAGCAAAAATTCATGAAGTATGCGGACCACCTCTGCAACTCTCTGCAGCAGAAGAGGTGGACCAAATGTCTGCAGACTGTAATAAGAAGCGTGTTTGTTTTTTAACATCAGCATGTTGCTATAGATATTAAAAAAAATAAAATAAATTGATTTTATATAACGAAAATAATTTTTTAATTCTGAAAATTTAATGATGTGACATTTCTTCATCAAGAATTTATGATATTTCAGCGAAAAAATAATGACATCTCAACAAAAAATAAGGATATTCCAGCAAGAATTTATCATTGTTCAATATAAAAAAACAAAAAAAAAATCATTTAGCAAGAATAAATAAAAAAAACGAAAAAAATGTGAAACAAGAAATCAACAAGATTTCTACAATATATAATTAAGATTCATCAAGATTTCAATAAGAAGTAAGAAAAAAAAGAAGAGGATGTTGGAAGAAGCAATACAAGTCTTGCTCCAAACAGAACACGCGCATAAGTTTTTTACTCTGAAAACTTCTAAAAAACAAACAGTTGCAAGATGAAAAGTGATGTGCGTGTGCTGTGCCGTGCAACAATAAGAGGCCTGAAGATGTTTTTTTACAAAAAACAAACAGCAACTAAATGACATTTTACCTCATGATTTTAAAAAATATTTCACAAGATCAACCAATTTTGTCACGAGGAATTGAGAGGGTGAATAGGTAAATTGTTGTTGTGTTAAGTCGATAAGCCAATATTGTTGGTTGAATTCAGATTGAGAGCTTATGTTGATAAGCTTGTTAAGTTAAAAAGAAACTTTCCCTGAGTGTTTGTAACTAAATGGCTTTGTATTTGCAAGTTTATTTGATTCGTTGCATGCTATATTTACAAGATGACATATTACAAGTACTTGATATGGAAGTGTTTTTCACTTATACCACCACATATTTGTTGTTGTTTTATATTTTTGGATGAGACAAAATCAATAGTTTAGTCGATACACTCCGAAACACAACAAAATATTGTATATCTTGTATTGCACAATAAACGGCCCCTTAGACTTAGTGGCAGATCCAACATCAACGGGATCCACTATATAATTAACAAGTGCGGTTCTTGGCGACAATTGTTTTAGCTGCACTGGCGGCTACATTTTTTTAACGGTAACGACGACAATCAGAAAACAATAGCATAACAGATCAATAATGTTTTCTTAATGTTTACAATAAAGTAGAAATATTTAAGAAACCATAAACATACCTGATGGTGGAAATGAGAATGGTGCATCTAGATCTGTTAATGCTTTTGATAATATTCTGGAATAATGTATTATCTCTTCCTAACCAGCCACAATAAACATATAAATCATGTTGAAGTTACAAATTGACAATGTACATTTTGATAACAATCACATTTTTCCGTTCCTAAATATAAATTTTGTTTGTTAGTAGGGACAAAAAGTTTGATCAAAGGGTAATTTTGTCATTTTTACAAATATCATGAGATTGTGAAGATTTAGTTTTATAAAATGTGTTGATACATGTTAAAGTAACTTTTGTGATTAAATATGATGTCAACTTAAGTGACTTAGGCATGGAAATGTACATTTAAAACAAAAAGGGCGAAACGGGAAATTATATAATTTTGAGTACCAACTTTGTGACTTAATAAATTGACACCTGTAACTATTCAGCTAAAAGTGTCTTAATGGAGTTATTTAGCCAAAAGTGTCTTAATGGAGCTGTTAAACTCATTTCCACCTACATGTAAGTTCATGAAATTTAGAGTTAGTATGATGAAGTTACAATGATACAAAGTTAGAAGTAAAAATGCTATAAAAACTAGAATCACAAACTACATCTGATGAAATTACATGATGCATACGATGAGAGGTAAGCGACACATATGGGTCATTTTGATGTAGAACGGTGTTGTACATTGCCATTACAGGAATGAGTAGTATACTTTGTAGACGCGACGTGTAATTGGGTATTATGTAACGCGTAGGAAAGTACGATGCATAATTGAAATTGAAGAGAATGTGATGCATGTACGTTAGAAATCAGACGACGTGTTTTATGGATATGCAACGCGTAATCGCTGTTCCAGAATATGATATAGCAGATTTATGTCGGTCATGTGGTTCATCCTTCACTGACAACACCGATTGAGAGACTAAGAGGGACGAAGTTGGAGTTGTGATAAAGAGTATAACTTCTACCAACAGATCTTGAAGAAGAATCAAGTCACTTAATCTATATTAAGTGAATCTTCTCCTTTATTTTACTCAAACTTTTATGATTTTTCAAAGGTGGGATTGGAAGGAAATTAATGGAATTTGTTGCAATTGCTTTAAATTATAGTATGAAATAATAGTTAGCATTTTAAACAAGATTTCAAGTTGTTATGATCAATACATAGTGATATTCATGAAGTTGAGTGCGAAGAACTCAAACCCTTGATTGAAGAATTATGCGATAATTGAAAATTAAGCCCATGCCTTAATAAATTAAGTCATATGGATAAGATAAATGTGAAGCTTAATTTTTGTGGACAAAAGTTTGAAATGGAAAATTTAGGTGATTATGTGAAATTTCGTATTAAGAATGAAATAAAAATTAAGTTCTTAATAAAATAAGTTATGTTATTAAAAGTCTTATGTGGTGATTGATTAAGAATTAAAGATATCTTGGTCAAAGAACACCAAGAGAGGAACAAGAGTTGTGGTCAGTCTTCACTAACTACCTAAGGTGAGTACATGAAGTATTTTGAATTGAGTACATATCAAAACAAGTTTTTCTGATGTGAAAATTATTATGACAAGGACATAAATGCTTAGAACTTTACTGTCTTATGTGAATGGTTTTAAAGGGGGTTGTTAGTAGTTGATTTATGAAATCTTTTAGCGTGCCATGTATTTATTGGTTGATTTTAGTTTACTCATGATTTGAGTAATATGTTTTAAGTATCGAATGCATTCAAAGTTATGAAATGCCCGTACATGTCCTGATAACAAGACATATGAGACACTAATGGGATGGTACCTCCTGTCGCGAAGTAGTTTTTCAGGGGTATATACTCCCCATTGACCACAAAGTGTTTAGTTATCTCATGGTTAGTAAGGAGATGATTGCAAACTGACGAGGAGTACGGATTCCCCACATGATATAGATAATCCGGATATATGTGTATGGTATGTTTTATGATATGTATATGTGTAATGCCTGCGTTTCCCGCTAGGCATTAGTTAGATGATTAGGGTCAAAAATTGTAACTTCTTTTATATGATAAAGGGAAATTATTTGAGTATTATGTGATTTATGTGCGATTATTTTTAGTATACATGCTTACGACAATATAATAAAATAAGAATAAAATAAGCGTCCAAAATAGAATAAGAATTAGACCGAATACCCTTGACGAAAGTTGAAGTAGTCGTGACAAGGATTCCGGGGATATAATGAGCGCTTAAATCGGACTTATAACAAAGAAGTTATGGTTTGTCAAAGTTTAGCAATTTGACCCGATTCGGTAACGCGCGTTGTAAATAGTAAAATTTCATTATATTACTTTTTAGCCTTAGTAATCTAAACTAAAGTCCTAGTAGTCGTTAAACCGAGAGCGTTCATATAGAGAACATCCAAATCTGACTTTATTAGAGGATGTTATGATTTTTCTAAGATTCAGTGTAGCAGTAGACAACCCAAATATCAAATTTTAGATCAGTTGATTGTTAGGCGAAACAATCTAAACGAGAGTTGAAGATCTCGTTAATAGGATTCCAACGATAAAAAGACAGTCGAAAACAGACGTCAGATGACAAAGTTATGTATTTTATACGGACTTTAACAATCTAGACGAACGATTTCTATGCACGTTTTACTTTATTTAAACTGTATATGTATTTTTATACCTATAAATATAATGGGGTAAAGATTAGTAGATGTAAGATGATATAGATGTTGAGAGATGAAAGATGATATAGATAATGAGAAGCCTTTACTTTAAAGATGATTCAGTCGTCTAACGGAGTATAGATGTAACACCCGTTTATTTATTAAATAAATAAATGAAGGACTCGTAGCCCTAAAATAAATAATTATGTATAAAAGGATGGTCTCGAAGAGCTAATTGTCACCATTTTAGAAGTAGAGGGTTAAAAGAGTAAGTTCCGGACCCAATTTGTAAGTAATATTGAAGGCGGGGACTACTTGGTAATTAGTGGGACTTAATTTGAAAAGATTTCATGGAAGTCAGGGACTAAAAGGTAAGTTTGAGGCTTAATTTGAAAGGATCTTGTAGGGAGGGTCCAGACTTGTAAATATGTCAAAGATTTAGAATGCCCGGGGTTTAAAACCCGCCACCCTCACCATACAAACCCTAAACCTAGCATCTTTCAGCCGCCTCCATTCATCCTCTTCATCTTCAATCTCCGACAGCCGCTACCCTGCTTGCTGCCTCGTCGATGAATCGCGACCATCATTTCTCTACTGCCGGAAACCACCAAGGGTTGTCGTGTTATTTAGCCGCCGGTGCTACTGTCCTCGTGGTTTGATGTCGCTGCCGCCGCCATCGCTGTAGAAGAAGAGCCGCCATCCTGCCTTCGCCACCTTCCCTCTCCTTCTCTCTTCCGATTGCTGCTGCTGCTCGCACGCCGGAGCCACTGTTTCTTCTTCTCCATTTTTTTGGTGCGACGTTTCAGCCGCGACTGCCGCCGCCACAGCTCCGAGCGGCTGCCTTGTGCTCCTGTTGCCTCCTGCCACCACGAAGGGGCTGTTGTGG